ATGCACTTTAAAAAAAAAATGAATTATTTATTAATTAATTATTTATATATGCACTTAAAAATTTGTTTCATATTTAGCATATCATATATGCATATATGATTGTCGAGATTAAAGTATTATTATATTCTTATTATTTCGAATTGAATTGAAATGAATTTGAGAAGTACTTGGGAAGCACGTGAGCTGTATTATTATTCATTCAGTAAGAACTCAAGATTCGAGACCACGTAATACGCCATCAGTATATTAAGATTTCATATGACTAAACGACTTATTTGTATTTATGTATATGTGTATACATATGAATAAATATATTTATATATATATATATATGTGTACTTCTTTGTATGCGCTACGTCAGTGCACCCTTTATAAACCATTCACCATAAATGACTTTTATTATACGAGAGTCTTGCGGTTTGCCAATGGATCTGGATATTCCCCTGAATCATGATCTTTCCCAATGGATAGAGAATTTACTAAGTAGCTGCGCCGCTGACGACAACGACGCGTGCTTGAAGTGCGCTTAAATTTACATTAATATACATGTATGTATGTATGTATGTGCTTATCTTCAATTGAATCGGCTGGCGAAACTATTTGACAAGCTTTTGAGCTCAAAGCAACACGTTTCTTTTCAGCTGTTAAACAGCTGTTAAGTGAGCTTAGGCATGTTAAGCTGTCTCAGCAGCTTCTGTGCTTACATGATAGCGTCACGCTGTAAGCATAACACAAAGCCACTAAAACAGCTGTAAGGCGCTGCCGACCGATCAGTCTCTCCGCTCAGCACTCTCTTACTCTATCTCTCTTTCACTCCCTCTCTCGAACGCTGGTGCTAAGCTTTGCATAAAGCTTGTGCATTGCCAAGACTTTCGACTTGTCGTTCAGTTGCTTTCTTGTCGCGCGCGACGATAAGCGTATGTGCTGGCTTGTTAGTTAGTTAGTCGTGTGCTATCATTCTCACTCTCTCTGCCTCTCTGCCTCTCTACCTCGCTCGCTCGCGCCGCAGCTGAAATGAAGTAGTGATAAATATCAAAGACGCGCGTCTCCCACACGAATTACACAAGAATATTTCCCCTTTGGGAAAATACACGAACTAAGCGTGCGCGCAGAGCAGAGCGGAGCAGACGCGACGGCTGCTTAAAAGCGCTTGCATCACAACGGCAGGGCATCATTTTAGGCAAGGTCAAGCACGGCGCAACAACATATTGAAGAAGAAGAGGAAATTAAATTAAATATATATATAAAATCAGTAGCATCGACAGGTGATATAGGGAAAAGCAGAGCGAGCAAGTGACAAGTGCGTTGCTGGCTGTTGGCAGCCACTGTGCAAAGGAAACAAACAAAGCGGAATAAACGACACTGCGCAAAGAGGCGACTGACAACAACTAATACAAGCAACAGCAGCTTCGACACCAACTACAATAATATAAAAGAAGAAGCAGAAAAAAAATAAATAAAAACAGTCAAAACGAAAACAACAACAACAGCGAGCAAATAAAACCCGGCAATAATTTTAGTCGTGCCAGTTTGTTTATTAAATATACTATATAAAGCGCATAAAGAAAACCAAAATATTAAATCAAAGCACCGACTCGCAGCTACCCTGTACAGAAGTTTATATCTATTGTATATATTGAATTAAAAAAATACTTAAAGTTACTTCAAAATTAAAAAAAGAAAAAACAAACAACTAAAAATAAATTCTAATATAAAAATGCCTCCAATGTGGTGGAAAATGATCGCAATTATGATGCTGCTCTTCGCTCTCTTCGCAACGGTAAGTTTTGAGCTGTTTTATAAAAATTATCCTAATCCTATGCTTGATGCTTTGCCAAAATTTAAATAAAAACAAAAATTAATAAATAATATTTTGGGTATTGGTTTACATTTCTAATAATATTCAATCATTACATTTGCATTTGGTGTATATAACAATCCCATCATCGCATTATATATTGCAGGGTATTAAAGTTGTATTTTCAAACAACTCTCTAAATACCTCTAAATGCCTGTTCAATATGCGACTTGCTATAACATTTCGCATATCCGACCGACAGCACACGATTTGTATATTGATTTATGCAGGGAATCATATTTCAACTGGAAACCTAAAGCTTAGCAAAGTTGATATTAGTCTGGGAATAGTTCAGGCTTACATAGTATATCAGCTCGAGCTCGATCCAAAGGGATGTTAATTAAACATCTATAGATCATACAATGTCTGGAAGGTAGTAAAAATGAACAAAAATCAGATAAAAACTTAAGTTCAATTATAAAAAAAAAGAACAATATTGTGCTCACTTTAATTATTGACGATTCTCATAACAAAATTATATTAAAAATCTAGGCAGACACAATTTACTATAAGCTATAATTATCAAGCTTATCTCGAGCGGAGGCTAAAGGCGAATGTGTCAGATTTTTGAGTAATTCGAGTCCCAGCTCAAATTAAATAAATAACAAAATTCTTAAACCTGAGCTGTGTCTCTTGAAACATATGTTCTTCAATAGTGTTGGTATTTTTTTCATATTATTGTTACTTGAAGTATTTTTATTTCATATATATTTTTTTTGTATGGCTGAAAAATTATAATTATATGAGAGGCTTACAAAGGCTGTAGCAAATTAAGCGAGCGTTAAATGAGCTCAACGAATTATATAAAGTGAACTGAGTCAATATAGTTATTTTACTTATTTAAAATGAGATTAAAACCATATATATAAGAATACTGAATAATAATATAGATTGATCGAGTTGTCGCAGTTCTAGATTCACGAAATACAAATTTTACACGTTTCTTCATAAATTGTAGACACCCTATGTTTAGAGTACCCAGAAAATAAAAAAATAACTTAGTAAAGCAACTCTATAAAAATAAAAATATTTATAGCTAGATAGAAATCAAGCTAATCTACTAAACAGACAGACAGTTAGCTGTGCTATTACCAATTGGCATACGTAATCGGTATGCTAATTTGGATACTAGAGAACCAGACAGATATATAATTTTGTAATTAAAAATGAGATTCACTTTGCTCCAGCATAATCATACACAAAACTAAAATAACTTATGTATAGGGTATATATATGACTACGGTAATAGAAACGTATGAGTATGCATACAAATATGAAATTTTGGATAAAGTAATATTATAAATAGTGCTGCCCCTTCTCTCTCTCTCTCTCTCTCTCTCTCTCTCTCTCGATATGCTTGCTGTATCCCTCTCTCTATATATAACATCATATATATATCATAAGCTATGCTCAAAGGCACATTCATAGTCATACACCCATACACACACACACACACACACACACATAGCGCGGCTCGGCGGAAGGCAGTTGCTGCTCTTGTTGTTGTTGTTGTTGTCATTGCCAAACGAAATATTGTTTGGGAAACGATTAGCAGCTCGTCGCGACAATCATCGCTATTTAATACCCTATCTTATGCGTGCGTGCCTTCTCTACCCTTTGTACACTGGATTATGTTATTATCCAATCGCAAACCAAGAAAAAAAAACCAAAAAAAAAAAAAAAAAACAAAATGTTCCACATGTATCTTTCAGATAGTTTGTATCAATAGCGAAATATCGAAGCGCCGCAGCGAGGCAGCTGCTGCAGTAGCTGTAGAATCGAACAGCAGCTCTATGGATATGACGTCATTTGTCTCACATCATCTACTGAACATGGCCTCCAAGGATCAGCCGGAGGAGCCGCAGCGGGAGAACAAAGAGGTGGAGGTGTGCCAAGTTGTGCATTGTCCTGAATTTTCTAAATAATTCTTAAATAATTATATTGAATGTTTTTTTTTTTTCTTTCCTGTTCTTCTTCTTCTTTTTTCTGTTCATTGTTCTTTGGGCTTTTGTTTATAAATTGCAAAAATTTATGCGTTTCCCAACTTTTTCGTTTCGACACTTTCGCTGCAGCTGCCCGCCGAGGATATTGACGAGCGCGTTCGTTCCATATTCAAAGTGCACGATGGCCATGGTGTGATACTTTTCAATGTAAGTGAGAGGGGTGACCACCATGACAGCCAATGCCCCAACATAGTCCACAATCATCCACATCCAATCAATCATCTATCACCTACTAACAACCCCCACTCTGTGTTTGTGTGTGCTTCGTTCGTTCTTTGATTTGGCTTTAAAACTAGCAAACAAGTAAAACGAAAAGAAAGAAAAGAAAAAGAATAAGAGAAGAGAAACTAATGCAAAATTTACACACACAGTCGACGGCCATGAACGATGATGCATCTCTCATGCCCATATCCACAGCCGAGTCCTGGCCATCCACCACAACCAGCACTCACACCCCAACTCAGATTCAAACTCAAAATCAAAGTGAAACTCAGTCTCAGTCCACGTCTCAGGCCAAGCCCAAGCACTATCATCAATATCAAAGCCTGAATCATCAGCAACAGTCCTTCAAAGTGCAGCGCTCACCGGATGGCAAGCTGAATCTCGTCTTTAATGAACCGATCGTCTCTTTACAGACCACCGTACAGCAGCAGCCAACGCAGCAGGAGCAACCAGCGCAGCAGCCACAGCAGCCGCGTCGTCCTATCTCGGATGGTAAGTGGTGTACGCGTAATACCTGAATGATGCACAGTCGGCTATAAGCGACTGTCTAATACACTGTTCACAGGTGCTCTATAAGGCATCTTCACACATTCCAAAACTTTAAACTGAAGAATTTTCATGAAGTAGGGAATATCATATGTAAAACTCAATTTTAGTTTGTATATCTTTCTGCTAGGCTCAGAAATTCTAAATCTTTTAAAATTATGTTACAGAACATAAGAATATGTTTCGCGTCAAATGTATACACAGGGTACTTAAAGAATACGAATAGATCAGGGACTCAAATCTCGGTAACGGTCAGTCAGACTTTCTTAGACTCTATAGACATTTGGCAGTGAATATTTAAGGACTTCAAAAGGAAGACCATTATTGGCAAACAATACGGGGTATATAAAGATTCATAAAGGATCAGAAACTTGAATCTTCTAGAAGATTAACAAACTAATTTGGACTCTATGAACAAAGAATGCTGGAAGCTTAAAGACTTCCAGATTATCAGAGTCTTCTTAAAGATCAGGGACTTCAAGAAATCAAAAACATCATAAGACATTCATAAAACCCCTCGGTGCTCATTAAGTCCGTTAACTAATGCCCTAAAGGTAGATTATCCCACTCCTTTGCCATTTCATTTACAATTTAATCACTATACCTCCTCGAAAAGCTTGTGAACAGTGCATTAATGTATGTTTTAATTACCTACCCTTATATGTATCTACCTACAAAAATGAAACACTTTTCTAATACAATAATACAATTAACAAATACTAAATCGATATCATGCTCACACAACACGTTCAACTCACATGGCGGTTGCCTAACGTCCAGTTATCGTGTTTCCCGACTCCATAGATAAGTATCGACCCACGCGACCGACGCCCGTGGAAACGGGCGATCTGTGCATGGACGGCTTCAATCAGAGTCGCTCCTTCTGCACCAAGGTCAACAATTATCCGGATCTATCCGGCCTGAAGGGCATTCTCTCGCGTCGCTTTGCCAATTTCTTCAGCGACGAGCCGCAGCCCACGGATTTCGGTTTGCGGATGAACGACGATGAGATGTACTTGTGCAACAGCCATCAGAGGTACCTCTACCCAAAGTACGGCCAGAAATTGGATCTGACGTGGCAGTACATAGTCAATACAGATGAGTTCAAGCAGGGCATACTTATCGAGGAGTGCGAGTGAGTAGAACTACGAAATTACTGGAAAAATACATACGTAACTCTATAAATACATTATTTCAATTTGCAGTCACGAGGGCGAGGGCTGCCAGTTTCTGGATAGTTTTCCTAACAACTATGTGCCCGTGTGCAAGCAGCACTACGTGATACGGCACTTGGCCACGATCAACAATGCCAGCAACGGGCAGCCGGAGGTGGCCAACGAGCCCTTCAAGATACCCTCCTGTTGCAAGTGTGTGATCAAGAACAAATACTCCGTGGAGAGCAAACCCTAAACAAGACTAATTCCAACACAAAGAGCCGGATATTACATATACATATATGTGATATAATAACAAGCAAACCATGCCAATTTCTGCACATGTGATTTTGATGTAAGCATTATTATTGTTTCATAACACACGAAATTTAGCAACGTGATTAGTGACATAGATCCACTCATTTGATAAGCTTGCGCAGCGTCCAGCCCATCGCGTAGAATCCGAGCAGCTTAATGGCCATGCGCTTCCCCTCCACATTCTGGAGCTGCTTGAATCGCCCGCTCAGATTTCCCAACATACCATCCATCGTATAGAATGTGTGGTACCTTTCCCAATTACTTTTAATATAATATATGGTGTATTTATACGCTTAGTAGAAAACAGAAAAACAGACACCGACCATACAGATCGGAAACGAAAATTCAAATTATATACAGTTTTCGACGATTTTTTCCCGAGTTTTCCAAAATTTGTAATTGTTTGCTTTTATTCATTACGAATATTTACGCTGACTAAAACTAGCTTTGTATGCTCTAACAGTACATGTACGTTCGACTCAAGGCCAACTACGTAGAGTATTAGAATTAGTCTCAAATGAAAAGTATTTAATGTATGCCTCTTCGAAAAGAATTTATAGGGTTTTTCTTTGTGTGCAGGGGAATTCAAATTTAATATACTAAATACATTTTCTATAATACATCTTTTATTTTGAATAGGGTTTTATTATATTTAGAGTTTTTATATTTGGGTTGTTCAATATTGCACTTGGATTATTTGTTAAACTGTTTTACGGATTAGAAACTCAAAATATTCATATAAATTTAAAATAAATATTGATTTATATTTAAACATATTTGTATATGATATTCAATATATAAATGATATTATATATGATAGTACTTAGCTGCATTTGGTGTGTAAGGAGCTTCCAGGTTCATAAGGTCTACTCCATCTATTGCATTTGAATTTGAAAATATTTATATATGGAGAGGTAAATCAAGAGCATGCCTCTAGAGTTTTGAACCTGGATAGAAACATATATCTAATGATAACTGAATTATTATAGGTTGAAAAATATTACAAGTCGAATGCAAGTCATTAAATTTATATTTTAAGTTTAGGAACACCCTGATCTTAATGTACATAAATATAAGCGCTTGTGTAATAATTTTGTATATTATTAAAGTTTATTAATTCATTATTTACTTTTCTTGTTTCTTTTTTATTCCACAGCGACACGTTTCACCCACCACAGAATGGCAGGCCAAACTGTCTAGGGGTTTTCTTTTATTGTTTATTTTTATTTTGATTATCTTTTGTATACTTCGTAGACTAGCTGTTTTATATGCACATAAAACGCATTTTAATATTTAAGTATGAATAATCAAGATGTTTGATATTATTACTAATGCTAATGCTAATGCTAAATGCAAAACACTCATCGAATAGCCATAAATGTAAAAATTAATTGTTTAGCATTTACAACAAATTCTGCAAATACTGACGCTGCGTTTATGCTCATAAAAAAAAAAAATTTGAAAAGATAAAAATATAAATAATTTTGTTTTCCACTTAATTTTCATGTAAAGTMTAGTATAGTATGCATGTACTTAGTTTAGGTAAAAAAAAAAAAAAATGTAACAACTTTAAAAGCTTTGTTAAAATGTCGTGCACAAAATAAATTGTTTAAGCAAGCTGCAACTGACTGCGCAATACTCTGTAATTATTCGAAATTGTGGGTAGACCTTATAAGAAGCCTTAGTTTTTTGGAAACGGATAATTGATCTATATATATTTAAATACCTTTTAAGATTTTTCATTCGACTTGAGCTGGTTAGAGTGAAAGAAACTGTGCCTAAGCCAAGTCAAATTTATATTACTTTGTAGAATTGTATTTCCGCATTTGTTGAAATCATTGTAGTATCTTAATCATTAATTCTCATTAAAGTGTGGAGGTTTGTTGGTAGAAGTCAGCTCTGCGTATAGACTGTATATAAATAGAAATGTGGCTACTACTTCAAAGTAAAGGTCACATTTGACATTCACGTGATATGAACTTATATTTGCACTTGTGTCTCTGTTCAAGGCTCCGTTGCATTCTTATCACCTGCAGTCCTTTGTGCGTTGTGGCTAAGGAATGACATTTTTATTAATTACTTAGAGTTCTGTATAGTTGATATGGCGCAGGTTATCGGACACAATAAGTTGCCTTCACACTTGACAAGAGCTTAGGCTTGAACATTTAGCCAGGGCTATTTAAAAATGGCGTAATTGAACGTGAACTAGATCTTGGGATACGTTTTATTTTAATTTTAATTTTATTTATTTTTTTATTATTATTACTATTAATATAATGTTGTATAGAACCTGTACATCCATACTATAAATTTACAACACGTTTGTGGGATCGATCAATGACAATTCAACGTTGTCTGTGGAAAATGTTTTGTAATATTAAATATTATGGTTAATATAATAAATAACGGAAATTTCCTTCATATTTTACATAGTTGACATAAGATATAACTTCAGCCTCTGCAATATATTGAGTCTACATTAAAAGCTATCAAGTAAAATTCTTCAATTTTAATAATATTTTTTGAAAACCTATATACTCTCTTTCAAATCAAACTATGCAGAGTATCATGTGGCTCTAAAATATGTGTGTCTATGTGTCTGTGGGCATAAAGTAAGCTAAAGTAAAGTTCTTTGAACTCGCATTTCAAACGACGCGAACGCCATGTCAAGAGTACATTTTTTTTGTGGCCAACAAGGCAAATGGCCAATGGGCAATGGGGTGCAGCATGTAAACATGCATTTGCTTATTAATAATAATTCTGTGCGCACGCTGTGTAAACTAATTACAGCTGATGTGTGTAAATACACACACACACACACGCAGAGCGAAAGCCATTCATTGGGCTGGCGCATGGGGCGTATGCGCGTTCTGTCTGTCGACTGCATTTATATCGTTTAGTGTTTGTTAGCTGTTGCCCGTCTGTTGCCTGGCGCGCGCTGCAAATCGATAATATTTATTGATTCCAGGCGCACTATATAGCCCACAAAGTATGTCAAAGTTAGGTCGAGCTCATGCGAATGCCTTGGCTAAATATCGTTCATATATTTGTATGTACATATATACATGTGTATATTAGTGTATAGAAGTTGGCTTTTAATTATTATTATTTTGCGTTTGAAGGCCAGCTAAAATAGGCATTGGGGCATTAATCATGGCGCTTACCTATATTGGCCATATATCCCACACAGTACATGCGTTTATCAATTATATGTAGTTGGCCGTCCCCAAAGCTACAATTCTAATGGACTTTTTCCCCCCAGATTACGAAACTTTCGCCTGGACATTATTTTGATTTGTGCTCACCAATCCCCTCCCTCGCCTACCGATTAAGCCACAGCAGACTATTGGAAAAATACAAGTTTATATAGTAACAAATTTGAAATACCCTTTTGCTAAGTAATGCAAATGTATGCAAATGAGTACTTATGTAATAAAAGATAGTTTAAACCGGTTAGTTTGTATCTATTCTTTATATATTTACCAAAGGTGTAAATTATGTATTGTATTTAGTATTTATTATATAAATATATTTTAACATAGTTATAAATTTATGTGAAATTCATTGTTTTAGTTAAAGTGGCTTTATTTTTTGTCTTGCATTTTTTGGTAATTTTAATACTTTTTGTTGATATTTATATTACGAACRTTTAAGCAAAATTTAAATAATAAATAATGCTATATATGCATTGAAATAAAAAGGGACTTGGTAAGTAAGTAACTTACCATAATGATATACCAGGTAAATATTGTAATAATAGATAATATTTACGCCTACTCTATGATTTACTCCTTAGGAGTAAGCCAACTTTTTCTAGCTGAAGCTTGAATCAAGAGTTATCTATAACAAGCTATTGACTATTGACTTGACTTATCAGGACTTAGGCCAACTATCAGGCAACAGCTTATGTCTACCTTGGAGATAAGCTAGGCTAGAGCTTACCATATATTAGAGCTTATTAGCTATTCAAAATGACTTAATGCCAAACTGTAAAGAGGATAATCTGTATACGTTCATATATATTTATTATATAATCTTACATTATACTAAAGATATTTTATTCTACATATATTATAAAATATACTTGCCTACGAGCTGTCGTTGTACTTTAAGCATATACTCTGCCCGGCTCTGCCAATAGCATGCGGAAGTCTTTATGCCTCACATGTCCTGCGAGTATATTATACTCAGAGCTGGACAGTCAGACAATCGCATAGTTGTTGTTGTTCGTGTTGTTGTTGCTGTTGTCAGTTGTTGTTACTGTTGCTGTTGTTGGCTTGTAATTGCCGCAGCACATTTGCATGGCAAAAGGAGTTAATGGTGGTTGCCTGATTTGTTGTTGCCATTGTCGAATAGCTGTTGCTGTTGTTGTTTGTTATTTGTTTGTTGCTGTGTCGCGCTGGCTCGTGGCGGCCTTATAAAAACCTTTGGCTGGCGCCAACACGGCTTCAATACGCCGGCAGTCGGTAGTTCAGTCGTGTACAGGTGTTGGCAGCCCGTGGTGCTCCTTATTCTACAACTATTTATCCAATGCCTTGGCTCTGGCTCGATTTTTCTTTCAATTTTACATTATGCACAATTATGCAACGGCCTGAATAGGTCAGAGCTGAAGGAGTACTTGGGAATTGGATGCGTGCAAACATTTAATAAAAACTCGACGTGGAATCGATTCCATTTGTATGCGCAACATGTGGTGCGCATCCATGTGAACCACATTCAGTGTTAGCCAGCGCATATTAATAGAACACTTAGCAATCTAACACGACGCCAGACGAGAGAGAAATAGTTAAAATCTAATAATTATAAAAAAAAAAAAAAAAAAAAAAAGAAGTTTTTAAATTTATAAATAAATGAAAATAAAT